CTATATAAGAAGTATAGCTCAGAGATTTCAGCTTAATTGCCCGAAGGAACTGATGTCTCCCGGCACATGGAGTAGAATCGCAGTACAGTGCTTGTACAGGTATCGTCCTTCTCCTTCAAATTGGCGCGCTACAGTAAACTGCTGGCATTAAGCGTGAAACTCGTTCACGACTATGGCTACGTTCATCGCGACATTAAACCAAACAATTTCGTGATGGGACACCGAGATGATCTCGAAAGGGCTCGCATTAGTTCACATACTCGATTTTGGACTCGCACGATCGTACGCTGCTTTTGTGAGTATTGCTTCTTAGACTATACGGGTAATCCTTCATACAGTACATAGAGTGCCAGCACATGGAATCGAAGGGAGGGGGCAAAAAAAAACACAATTCGGCCGAGTCGCATATCAGAAAAGGTACATACCCAGATGTTCCTCGATAAGCGATTTCCCATCGTAACCGGACTAGAGAATTCACGTCACCTCCAAACAGCTGCGAAACTTCTTGTATGGAGTCACCCATGGACAGCTACCTGGAGACCAGCACTCTTGATCTGGAAGACCTCCAACATCGAGCAGCTCCGACAACGTCGCCACGGTCCAGGATATCATCTTCACCGCAGTCGCCAAGGCGCGGGTTGATGGTATGGACCGGAAGTTCCTGGAATGGGAAGACCGATATTTTCTTCGTGGACCCCGGACTGAAAGTGAACGCTGACTGTTACATCGACAGCTCGAGGAGAATATCCTGCCTTCATGTCGTCGCCTGTACCATCTTGGAAACTTGCTACAGGATTGGGTGCCAGCACATGGAATCGAAGGGCGTTGGAAAAACTCTCGCCTACTTGGAATCGAAGGGCGTTGAGTACCTGAAGAAGACGGAATATCTAAGTGTGTCACCTGACCTAAACCCCTCGATTACCGGGTTCGGGCGGAGCTCAACAGGGTGGTCTACAGTGGCGGAGAAATCAACGCCTCGCTGAACTCAGGCACCGAATCACGGTCGCGTGGCAGAATCTCTCGATGGCGTTCGTCCAGAAGGCTGTGGCGGAGTTTCGTGATCCTGTGCAATGTACTGTGGAATTTCTTCTGTGGAAACTCTTCGCGAGGTTGATATACCACTTTATTCGGCTTACGCACGTTTCGGCGAGACCGCCTTCATCAGAGCCTGAAAGGACCGAAACGATTTGCGACTATCCGATCAAATGTCTCTGCAGCCTACTGAAGTTCGACCCTAACCGAATAAAGTGGTATATCAACCTCGCGAAGAGTTTCCACAGAAGAAATTCTACAGTACTACAACAATGCCGAGGTTTATTGAGAGCCGTACTTGGCGAATCCCGTGCAATGTGTTGTTGAATTTGATAGTGAAAATGTCCAATCAGAATTTAATAAAGTGTAACTTATATCGCCTTGAAAGTCGAGGAAGAAAATGTTTTTTTTGCCCCCCCCTGTAAATAACTTGTTACTCTAGAAGTCGAAATGGTACTCCTAGCAGCATTTGTCTTCGCTGTCATTCGTGAACTTTACAGAAAAATGGAAAGTGGGTTGCCAGAAGAGCAAGGGGCTCAGCTGAATTCCGAGGCACTCTTCGTTACTGCTCACCCAATGTTCATGAGAAAAAGGAACAGGTAGCGTCCTTGTGTGCAGTTCAGGATGAAAAACC